CATCCCAACTTGGAATGTACCCATGGAGCCACAGAATTGGTATGAAACTTATGAAACCATCCATTTTGGAGCCAAAAGAATTAACATGAATTAACCCATAGTCACTTGAAAATTTCCTCCAATGCCTCACAGCGGGGACTTCAGTCCTCGGCACCACTCCAAGGCAGATCCTCGTCCTCGTTGCAGCCGGCCTCGGAGCGAGCCGGAAATCGAGACGTCGAAGTCAGATATGCTTCAGCTGACCTAATCAGATCTTTCAGTAGGGACAGTAGGGACTAATAACTTTTTGGACTATTGGAAGTGAAAAGGCCCATGTGACCTCAAAAGACAGCCATAATACTCAATCAAAATGCTTGTGATGGCTGCAATCCAAACCAATTGACCATCCCAACAAGTCCCCACCTTGGGGTTGCCGTTGTCGTCGAGCTGGCACACATCGCTTGCAACCTGACCAGGCAGGTCTGAACTCGACACCAAACCCTTTGGTGAGCTGTCCGTGAGAAGACCGGAATGTTTGAAACAAGTATTGAGATTGTACTATCCGGTTCAACAAAGTGACAAAGTGACATGTTTCCCCCAATTCATGGCAATGTTTATAGGTAACATCTGTGTTTTTCCAACCCATCCCACCTGCTGTTGCATCTCCTCCATGGTGGCGGATGAGTCGCTGGCTCCGGTCTCCTGGAGATGTTGAGAATATACTATACTGATGTAATATTCCCAACTGATCCATATATACATGTATACATGTACTTTTGGGAATGCTACTGATAATGTTGCGCTTGAGAATTTATATTGAGAATACTACTGATATAATGTTCCCAACTGCAGTGACGATTAATTGTCAATCTCTGGGTCTGGGAATGCTGCGTCGTTTTTTGCTGAACCCAAAAAAATGGAACGGAACCGCAAGGGTGGAACGCTGAACCTTGGAACCCGCTGTTGGGTTGCAAAGTTTTATTGACTATACATAGAATTGTATGTGTAGAGTGACAGCGTCAAAGGAAAATAAGGAAAGATGAAGAATGAGAGATGGCGGGTATCCACACCATTCAGAAAGTGTTCTCAAACGAGATATTTTCGTTCACCCTTTGTTGATACACTTGATGGCAGAAAGTGAAACGGAGAGTCTGCCAAACAGACACTATGGAAAAGAGAAGATAGGGTGAGATATCTTGTGCAAGCATAAATGTCACGGATCTGAAACTGAGAAAGCGACAGGCCTTCATCCACTCATCGGGTGTCTGTGGACTGGTGGTGCCAAACTCATGCGGGTAAGGGCACCTGGGCCGAATCATCGCTGTTCCGCCTCTAGGAATTCCCTCTTTTTCTTGGCGACAGACGACAAAAATGCCACCCAGCAGCTCCCTGGGGAAAGCGTGGTGCATCCATTGGGCAAAGAGGCGGCCATGGATCGGCACCCGACCACCGTGGAGGTTGGCAACTTCCCGCAGGCGCGTCTGGAGGGCTTGGCTCAGAGCACGAGGCGCCACCACCTGAGGAGGGGCAAGCTTGCCCAGCTATCAAAAAGCCAACCTTACCACTTACAATTGGCATCAGCTCACCCCTAAACATTGTTTTTCTTTATAAAATATTTGGGGGGAAGTTGCCAATGATTTTAGATCTATGGATCCAGTCACACTGGCTCTAAGGCACGGACTGTGTCCGACGACATGTTGGTAACCTGAGCACACTCAAAGCTTCAAGCCGCGCCCAAATCCAAGCATGGCATCTTGACAAAGCAATATGAAACGACTTTGAAGTGAAGTTTACATCTGTTGATTTTAGTATAGCTACATATAGCTACTAAAGTTACGAAAGTTTGTTGCCATCTGGTGGGTCCATTGGTGCCCGGTTGGTGTTTCACCCAAAAACACTGGGCATCCCCACCATTTGCAGGATCCTGGAAGGCTCGGCCATGGAAGTCTTCAGTTCACCCTCCAACTGGCCCATGAGATCTTCACCTCGGACCGCCATGGCTGGAAAACCACCATGGTTTTTCAGGCTAAAATCGTCCAATAAATGATTTAATTTAAAGATTGCCAAAAAATGAAAAAAAAACATTACAATCCTTAAAAGATTTACATTGAGAATTGAGATCTTCCTGTGATCTTCCTATTGGTTTTAAAGGTTGTGCAGTCACTGGAGCCTTCAATCCTTGCTCCTGCCATTCGCTGGCAGGTGCAGTAGCTCCCTGTCACATGCCAGCCAGATCTTGACATACTTTCGACTCGCCACATCATTGCTGCCCTAAAATCCATTTTCCATAGCAAAAAGCGCTTCATGAATTGCCAAGGCACACTCATTTCGGCAGCAAATGGCATACCTGCAAGAAATAGTGTGCAAGCTTACTCATTCATCTCATGAGTGTGGGTCAAAAATTCGTGCCCAACAATGTGATGACTGAATAGACATGAACAAAATGACTGGATATTTTACCCTATGACAGGTCACAAAGCATATTTAAGTCATAAGATAGTGATGTCAGCGACAAAAGAACACACTCTAGACACCCTTATATTGATACTCTTGTCCCTGTCTGCAGTTGGGTGGCAAACCAGAAGCTTCCAAACAGTTGGGTCGGGCCTTAGTCTGACAGCCATCTCTGCCCTTTCGCAACAAAGAAGAAACAAGGGAAGCCATCCTATGTTTCTTGGTGGCAAATGTGGTGGGGAAACAATGGCAAAAGGCTAGGTTGGTGTCCTATCCTTGACACAAGACTGGCGTTTCTCAAAATTAGATTTCCCCAAAACCAGTGGTTTTCCTGAAAATGACCAGCCAATAACTTGGATGATAGCTTGGGGTCCGCCATTTTTTACCCCCCATATGGGAACCCCAGGCACTGGGATCCCCCTGAGCTCTGCGCCATCATGTAGTTGGCCATTATGACCTGAGGTTGTTGAGGATCCGAGTCATCCAGCGCACCCAGTCGTCGCAAGTAGTCAGCCTGGAGACAAGAAATCCATGGAGAAAATGCTGAGTCAATTTCTGGAGAACCTGCTGGATTGTGATGGGTCATGTGAATCATTTCTGGACACGCTTCATGATTTCTTTCTTGGGTCGACTTAGGTCAATGTTGCATACATCGCCGACGAAAACAACGGGCAAAGAATGTGGATCCGCCCAGCCTTCTCCGTGAATCGCCAGTGACTATAGAGAGACTTTTTGTAGAAGGTCGAGAGGCGCACGCGTCCGGCCTTCTTGCCTGGAAAGAATGAAGGTCTGGGTTGCTCCACAACCAAAAAAACGAGGGACAACTGAAGGATTGATGAAATATGGTTTAACAAAGTTTAACAAGCACAAAGTCAGAGAGAATCAGGGACATGTTTCAAGTGTTGCATTTATGTGGTGAAAATGATTGGTGAAGGTCGTACCCACATCGTTGTGCTGTACCTGCAACATGGCGGCACCTCAAGCCTTTCTACACAGGAACCGCCCAGAAAAGATAGAACAGTGAATTCCTACATTTTTTGTGGTGAATGAATTTTCTGTCTTTTTGGGTGATCCTATTTATACGACTAGTGAACTTCCTTGGGCATGGCTTGGCTTTCGGTTCCAGGCGCACCTTCCATGTCTTGCATGGTGGCCTTCAAGGCACGACATTCCCCGTCGTTGAAGCGGAAATACCTCGCGCAAGGCCCATGGCTTGGAACCCATGGTGTAGGGGATGAAACCACATTCATCTGGAACCGATTGGAACCAGATTGATGAGGGTGTTTTCCTACTGATCAGGATAAGGGGATGGGATAAATGGGATAAATGATGGAGAGTATCAATCTGGGGAACGGCCCAAAGCCTGCCCTGGATGTGTTTGGCAGGAAGAGTCGGCCACCTAAAAAATTCGCAGCTAGCTGGTTGACGGAATCTTGGAGTGCTTGATGCTGGTTTCCAGCCCCATCCCCAAAAAGACATTAGTCAATTTTGATCATCCTCTGACTCTTATGTCGGTGGATGTTCCCAGTTGTGTTCCCGCGTTTATTGTTGGTGAAATCAGCACGTACAACATCATGTTACTGCTGGCAAAATCCCATGTCAGGCAGATGAAATCCACAAATTGTTGGTAGAATCCAATTTTTGTTGGTTAATCCCAACACATCTTCTCCATGTGATCTCCGCGCTCCTCTCGCCGATCTTCTGCACCAAGTCGAAGTTGGACTCGAAGGTTGGGGCAGAAATGCCTGCAGCTGTAGTTAAACCAAAAATGATGCCCTCTGGAAATCGAGCATTTGTATCGAAAATCACCCGTTTATATATGATTTACCTTCTGAGAATGTTAGTTACTAGAGAATAGAACTAGAGGGCGCCACTCCTAGGGGGATTGGGCCAAGTCTTTGGGGTGCCAATGGACCCACAAAAAGCTGGTCATTTTCCATCCCTGTTGCCCCGTAAGCAATATTGACCCATACCCAGGGTCAAAAACCCTTACCCTGGTGAAGCCTAAAAAGAGGGTTTCATATACTGACCCATCCCCATAGTTTCACCGGGCAACCTGCCTTGGTAGTGTTCCTTTTCCAGCTCGCCAAGCCAATTGTCAGCATCCTGCCAATCCTTGGTTGGATGGGCTACGCTTTTTCTCGTTTAATTTCAAGGTCCACATCTGACATAACAAGTAGCTATGTTTACAGAAAGCACCTGGCTGTCACGTTTATTTGATGCTTCTGCAATGCCGTCTTCCTGCAAAAAAAACCATTGAGGTCGTGTCGGAATACCTCCTGGCAGGCAAGGGCTGAGATTCGCTCTTACAAAGTCCCAGCATTTGAGGCTGGGCAACTTCACACAAAAACAGCCAGTGACCATTGACATGTTTTTCTCAAAGAAAGAAGGACGGGGTTGTCCTGCAAATTTGTTTCATTGACCAGGAACACTGTTGAAACCGGCAATTTGAAAAAAGAACCTCCCAAATGAAACCCTGGTAGTTAAAGTTCTTCATGACTTTGGGGCCATCAATATATAGGGGGTATTTAATATCATTTGATTTGTGTATATTATATTGATTTATATTGACTATATGAATCTCCATCTCAAGATTGCTCCCGGTGAAAGCCCCATTTTTGATGGTGAATCAGCGGCTCCCATCAAAAAAAAAACCTCGCCTGGCGAAGATGGCCTTCTTGGAGTGGACCTCCTCGGGAGAGGAGGCCGAGAAGTTCCCAGCCAGGAGGAAGCTGACGTACCAGGTGCGCACCACGTCATCCGCTTCGATGCGTGCCATCTCCCCTGACCTCCAGCGGGACGCTTGGAGGGAAGATGTGTAGCCGGAGGGAACGTAAAGGTGGAAAAGAGTTGTGTCTTTTTTGGAAGGGAGTGATGATCTACAACTGGTGCACTTTCCAGATCTATGTTCATTTACTGGAGGGTAAAAAGTACACAGTGCCTATGACAATGTGGTATACATGGTATACATTGCCTATGACGGTGTGGTATACATTGGATTTGCATATGTCAGCCTTGTAATTCGAGCCCAAGAATGACAATAGTGCATGTATTTCAATAAGAGCTATGTATGATGTATCCAATCACACATGGTAAACCATCCATTTCAGCGTCTCTGTGCCACTCTTCAGAGGGTTGTCTAGTTTCTCTAGTTGATTTCCAGAGATCCTTCCGCACCAGTTGATATGACAGATTCCGCCAAGGATCGTTGGGAAGTCGTGAATCTGGTACGCCGTCTTCAAACGATTCTTGGCCTCATGACTAACGAGCTCCTTGGCCGCAGGATGCCGCAGGAATGCTGGCAGCAGTCAACGATGACTATGTCCAAAGTCGCAAGGGTCTAAAGACAGGCTAATTCCAGTTCTGATAGACACAACAAATTTACATACTATATCAACAAGTATAAATGATATCACATATAGTCGTGTTATTCATATACATATACATATGTATCATCATTTTCCAACCAGAGGCCCTAGGCTTTGAAGCTCCCCTTGGTTTTCCGAAGCTGCTTCGCGTCCTCCAGGGACAGGGCCAATTGTACAAGGCCCTTCAGGTCCAGGCCCTGGCACGAAATGATGGAAAATGATGGTAAAGGGATGGGAAATTTGATGGGAAAAAGATGGAACAGAGGAAGAATGTCTGGAAAAATAGAGTTTGGAAAACTGACCGGAAAAATACCAGCTGGTGAATCAGAAGGATCAATCAAGGATTTGAGAACGGGCAGCGAGTTGAAACCAAGAGCCTTTCTGGCTGTGAAGTCCGAAAGACTGTCCGAATCCGCAATGTCCACAATTCGAAGGGATATTTTGTGGGACTCCCGTATTTGGGTGAAATAACCATATATATATATATATATACACATATATATATATATATACTGTAACCTTAAATCAACCCAATGATACATCTGTAGAGCTGCCATCCCAGGAGCCTTGTGGTGCAGCCTCTTTTCCAACAAGTCTTGCAAATAGGTCGGCACCCACTCCTCACAACAAAGCTGCGATTTCACTTCTCCACAAAAAGCCGAAGAAGTCAGTTTCTTGAGGTTTCAACTCCGAAAATTTGTGGGTTGACTACCCCATCCACAACATTTCCATCGCCCACCTTGACCTTGACCACTTCCAGCTTCTCAGGCGTCTCTTCATGCCAGTTATCACCACTGGGTTCCAATCCTTTGATGTACCAGCCTCGGGACCAGCTGTGAGCCCTCAAAGGATTGGCCAGCACATTTAACCCGAGAAAATTTGGGAATCCAACTACTCCACCATGTATATGGGAAGTAGCACAACTAATATGTTTGTTCCAACTTGTCACACACGTTTCAGGATGCATCAAAGCATATCAGTTTGCATATGAGATCCATAACTCCAAGCTATAAAATGCCCTAAACTTATCACCTCACGATGCCTTCCCCTTACGCTGCAGCTCTGGAGCCATACTTCTGAACGAACATACGGTGAAGCACGTAGCGCACGGCCTGGTGATCGATCAATCCCTGCCTTAGAAAGAATCGAGAGCTGGGGCTGTTTGTCCAACCACCATTAGTGTAATTTCAAGCATACTTGTATGATTACACATATGTACATATGTATGTATGTAATGTAATATAATGTCATGTCATGTCATGTAATGTAATGTATGCATGTATGTATGCATGTATGTAGGTACGTACGTACGTAGGTATGTATGCATGGATGGATGGATGGATGCATGCATGTATGTACGTACATATGTATGTATGTATGTATGTATGTATGTATCTATGTATCTATCTATCTATCTATCTATCTATCTATCTATCTATGTATCTATGTATCTATGTATCTATGTATGTATGTATATATGTAGGTACGTACGTACGTAGGTATGTATGCATGGATGGATGGATGGATGCATGCATGTATGTACGTACATACATATGTATGTATGTATGTATGTGTGTGTGTATGTGTGTATGTGTGTATGTGTGTATGTGTGTATGTCTGTATGTCTGTATGTCTGTATGTCTGTATGTCTGTATCTATGTATCTATGTATCTATGTATCTATGTATCTATGTATCTATGTATCTATGTATCTATGTATCTATGTATGTATCTATGTATGTATGTATGTAGGTACGTACGTACGTAGGTATGTATGCATGGATGGATGGATGGATGCATGCATGTATGTACGTACATATGTATGTGTGTATGTGTGTATGTATGTATGTATGTATGTATGTATGTATGTATGTATGTATGTATGTATGTATCTATCTATCTATCTATCTATCTATGTATCTATGTATCTATGTATCTATGTATCTATGTATCTATGTATCTATGTATGTATGTATGTATGTATGTATGTAGGTACGTACGTACGTAGGTATGTATGCATGGATGGATGGATGGATGCATGCATGTATGTACGTACATATGTATGTGTGTGTGTATGTGTGTATGTATGTATGTATGTATGTATGTAAGTAGGTATGTATGTATGTCTGCTTGTCTGTCTGTCTGTCTGTATGTATGTATGTGTGTATGTGTGTGTGTGTGAATAGTTTGTCTAAGATATTGTACGTTAATCAATATATATATATATGTATATATATATATGTACTTATAGATGCACACACACACAACATTTTTATATGTATCCCGTTTCATAGGGGTATGACTATCCTGTAGTATGGGTAGAGAAAGCCCCCGCTTTGACCGTGGCACACATCAATAGCTGTTTTCCCCGAAGAAACGTATATAGTCGAGCAATCCGACGTGGCAATGGAAGATCCCCATGTTTTTGAATCATAAACATATGTATGTATAATATATATATATACATTCACATATACATACATACATTCATTCATACATACATACATACATTACATACATTACATACATTACATACATTACATACATTACATACATTACATACATACATACATACATACCACACCATACCATACCATACCATACCATACCATACCATACCATACATACATACATACATCCATGCATGTATGTATGTATGTATTTGTATATGTATATTATATATACATATAGATATACACATATAGATATATATATATACACATATACATATAGATATACACCTGTCGAAAATGGTGGAGTTTTCTGGTTGCCATGTTTAAGTATAGGAGTACAGTATATTTACCATCCCCAATGTACCTGACTCTGATATGATCCAGCACTGGGGTTTGAGCGAATTCTTCGGCAGAGCATTGTACGTGGGCAGAAGTGCCTCCAGCTTCCATGAATCAAGTCTGCCCAAACACACATGATGTGAAGAGTGAAGAGTTCATCTCAACCTGGTACTCATTTGAATTGTGATTGCTCCAAGAGACAAAAAAAACGTACCGATGAGGCTGCCCACAGCTGCGCGGCCGCGTGATGCTGCGCCTGGTGAATTTCAGCCCACTTCGGACCCATTTCAACGTCTGTCACCAGGTTGTCCATCAAGCTCTGTTGCACCTGGCCGTTATCATGGCAACCTCCCAAGAGCTTTTGTCACAGCAACGGTGCCACATTTTGCGGACTTCCGCTAGGCACTGCCAGAACGAACAGTTTTTTGTGCATAAAATCTGCCAACCTAACTGAAGTCATTTTTTCTCCAAGAATTATGTGAGCGAGTTGGATATGATAACATCACATAACATAACACATGGTTTTAATATGTTTTAATGGTGTCTGTTTTTTCTCATCCAACCCCGGAGGACCTCGTTCTCTGTCACCTCGTTGGAGTTCAGGAAGCTATGGGCAGCCGCCAAGGTGAAGAGCAAAGGCCTCAGATTCCGTGTGTGTGTGTGTTGAGTGTAATCATTACATACATATATATTGTGTATATGTCTATATATGTATATATATACACATATGTAACATGTATATTCTATGTATTATAGATAGATGGATGGATGGATGGATGGATTGGGATGGGATGGGGTGGGGTGGGATGGGATGGGATGGGATGGGATGGATGTAATGATGTGTATATATTATATATATACATTCATAAACATATACATAGACAAATACATGGATGTAGACATAGACCGTCTATGTAGACATGTACATGTACATGTACATGTACGTATACATATACATATACATTATACATATACATATACATATCCATTTTATGTACACTTGTATTGACTTGCGGACCAAAAACACCTTGCAGCGATATTGCAGGTTGAGAGCCTGGCAGAAATCCTTTCGACATGGTGCTCCAGATCAAGAAATCGGCCACGAGAAGGGTCTTTGGCAGAGGTTATGAACGTAAGCTTTGTTATATTGGACACTTGATGCCTTGAAGGCTGCGGACAGATCAAGCTCCAAGGCATGGTTACCTCACGGTATCCAGGAGGGACAGTGTCTTGCTCGGCTTCAAGGGCAGATCCTGCTGAGCAGCCTAGGGCCTACTCCGATTGAAAAACTACTCTGTGAAGATCCATTGAAATTAAATTCAACTGCTGTTGAGTACCCACATATATCTCTCAGAACCAGAGCTCTGTCCCCACCCATTGCAGCATCCGCCTTGCCACGGCCACCCATCTTAGCCAAGCATTGTGCCAGCATGCAGAGGTCCTACACGGGATGGCAGCTTGGCAGATTGGTGGAGTCTTCTGTCTCCAACACCAGGAGCATCTCTTTCAATGGATACAGGGAGGGGCACAGGGGTCCATGGGTCGCAATCCAACAGCCTGCCCCTGTCCTGTGCAGAGAAAGCTGATAGATCTCTCCTCATGACCTGCACGACAAGCTGTTGCGAGGAACCGGTCGTTCTTTTGAGCCATGCCGTATGCCCATCTAAGGGGCCGTGCCTCCTTCGTCACATGCCCGGAGCATCTCTCTCCAATGTATTGGCTTCCTGGGCGCATACACTGGATGATTTGCAAAGAGCAGAGATATGAAAAGACACTACGCGCTGAATGTTTTCAGCAAGGATTTGGGTATGGGTTCGAGAGCGAGTAATCGACCCGCAAACTCGGATTTCTTTGATACGAAACCATCCATTTGGGAGCTAATAAATTTGAAGCTTTGCATTGCTTAGAAGGGACAGGGTTCATGACTTCTGCACTTGGCACTGAAAAATTGTAGCTGAGACTCTGGAAGCAGCCCAAGATACGAGGCTTAGGTCCTGAAATTGTTGCATTGTCTCAAAAGGGGGAATGGTGATTTTCAATGGGCTACACCACGAAATTCATGGCTTCCAAATTCTGAGACAACCCGGCATGTTTCATAAATTCATGTCTACACGAAGGTTTAGGGCAGGGTTTTTCTCAGAGTCGAAACATTGTCAGATTCCAATAGTCAAAAATGTTGATGTACAAACTAGGGTGCATCAGAGATTACAGTAACTAAACTCACGCTTAAATGACTTGTCTGATGTGGTTAGGATTCAAAGCTTGCCACCAAATCCGATACTTCCTTTTGCGCCATCTTTCAATCAAGATCTTGATCTTGCTGCAAATCTTGCTTGATCTTGGATCAGTCTTTTGATTGCCTGTCCATGCATCCAGTGGTGTCTGAGATCAAGAGAGCATGTCCTTTGATGAGAATACTGCAAGATTGTCCAGGACCTCGCACCGACAACAGAACTTCCAGGGGAAGCCAGGCAGTGGTGATGACAAAAGACCATCCACCCTGCTTCCCAAAATGACGAGCCATTGAAACAAATGAGCTTTGGAACCGTTTCTTGAGCTTAAGCCCCGAACTTTATCCAGAAGGACTGGTAGAGAAGTTGAGAAGTCCGGAATGCCATCCACCTTCGCAAAGCCACAACAAAAAGCAGCCCTTGGTCCCTTCTCGTGGCAAAAGTGTGCTTGAAATCAGGGGAAAATCCGAAAGAAAAAAACTGAATTTAACCTGAGAAATGAGAAATCTAAAAAGGAGAAATCCTGAGAATCTGTTTGTTAGATCAGAAAAATCTTCACCGATCACTCAGATCTTCTGGCACCTTTGCAAACGCCACACTAAGATGGGCCACATCCTGGGGCGACTTCAGCAGGTGCCATCACTGGGAAATGTACAGGAATGATCAGGAACCATTGGTTTTCATATTTTTCATGGGTTTTTCCATCAAATCAAGCGTTTCCGGTAGTGTGTAGATGTTTAGTAGTTTAATTCCCTCCTAAATATCCAGGGGTTGCAGGGGTTCAACGCCGGTAGCTTAATCCTCCATTTTATCCCTGAAAACCATTGACGTCTGATCTGCTCATCCTCTGAGGCGACGCTTCAGCTCCTTTGTCCTTTAGATACCTTTACATGTTTGCAAAAAGAACGGATCTTGGAGATCTGTTCCAACCGTTCCAACGAATTACCAAGGCCCCTTTTGGGCTGTTCATCCGCGAGTCGGCGGATCTAATTGATGCTTCTGTGTCTGCGTAAGTGAAACTCCAACAATGCATGTTTTGAGGAACTCTACGTTTAGACTTTGGTTGATGTATGATGATGTTAACAAAACTTACGACCTCACAAAATTTGCGCAGCATTTCCCGCTGCTCAAACGCTCACGCTGAAGCATCATCTGCAAGCAACCTTTGTTGTTGCCAGGTGAGAAAATGAAAGAATTGAAAACGACCCACTGATTCAACATTGCGTCGCTATCTGCACGGAGACTTTGCCCTTAAAGGCAAAGCATAGACGTGGCTACAAAAGAGTGGAGTGGAGTGAAGGTGCAGGCTGCCTTCATGCTCCGAAAAGTGTTGGTATCAGGATGCTCACAAAAGGCTCCAGCAACAGCAGAAAACCAACAAGTGCTGAGCAGTCAGGAAGCACGTTGCCTGGCTCGGGTCCTGTTCTGCTCCAAGGTCCCCATGGTGAGTTGTCGCTCACGTGCCATCCTCAATTCCTCAACAGCTGGGTCTTCGTCCTCCAATTTGTAAGGCCCCCGTGGTGGCTGGGGCTTGGGCACAACCTTGGCTTGGCGCCAGTGCCGGAGGCCTTCCAGCAGGGTGGAACAATGACCTGCCAGATTTCTGCAGTGATCAATGCAGCAGTGTGGACCATGACATGGGCAGATTGCAGGAGCAGGCAAGGCCAGTTGAGGTTGACCCTCACTCGGCCTTTCTTGCAGTTGGAACTGACCCATCTTCTTCCCTCCAGCTTCAGGTGCTCCAGCCTTGAAACTTTGGGTGACCTCCACTTTTTCAAATTGACGTCCTGTCTTGGCCGGACCCGCAGCACGTTTCAAAACGCTTCTCTGTGACATTGTCCGGGCCTCCTGGTCCACATGATCATCCTCTTCCGACTCCTCAGACTCCGAGGGGGAATCGAAGTCCCGGTCCAACGGCACATGGGGGCGCCGCCGCGCATCGCAGTTGCCGGGGGGATGCCACCGCGGTTTTGCCACAGGCTTCCCATCCACGTTGAAGCAATCCGGATTCACATGGGAAAAGAAATCGATTGGAGGCTCCATGTGAGCTGCTCCCAAATGTTCCATCTCTGGCTCAATCTCTCTGTCCGCATGTTCAGAGACCCTGCTTCGGTACAAACTTTTCCTCTCCTGCACCTCCTTCAGCACCTCCACCACCTCCTCTACCGTGCCCTGGGAGGACAGCTGCCAGCTATCCTCCAGGGAATCGCTGCGCTCAAGTGCTTCCAGGGCTTCTGCCTCCAAGGCTGCCTACAGGTGAGCTGTAAGAAGCGAGAAAACTGGGCATGCAATTTATGCGGATGTGACCAACAAACACAGTTCAATGGGGTTGTTTGGGATCTAAGCAATGATATTGGGCATTCACGAAGTCATGTCATCAACGAGGATCCCCAATGTTCATCGCATTGAAACGTGGGATGTGTCCCAAAAAATTGGGGAGCCCACAGAGTGCCCACCTTTTAAGGTATGGGAGTCACACAAGACTGACGCCTTGAGAATGCCTGCTGGAAGCCTTTGGAGAACACCCAAACTCTTTGTTTCCCTTATAAAATCAAGCCCAAATATGTGCTTGAGCTCCTCAATGTTTCCGCAAGGACAGCCCACCAAAAAAAAAGTAAAAACTGGGCCGTAACTGGCACCTTGCTTCTTTGCAGCGCACGGTTGTACAGAAGCTCGAGCTTTCCAGTGTGACCCAGTGGCACATTAGGGTCCAACTCAAATCCAGCCATCGATGCCATTGGTCCAAACTGACCAACTTTCGGCTGGCTCTGTCTAGCAATAAAACGGTCTTATCTCCAGGTATGTTCAAAAATGGTGGAGGTTGAAACTCTTGAAATTGACGATTTTGGGAAGAAAGCGACATGTTTAGGTTTTCAGCCATGCTTGGATACACCCACCTATTCTGGTGTTTATATTGGAAAAACGTTCCGTCGAATCGTGTTGCAGCAAACTTGCACGGCGTCTTGAGACTGAGACTTCTGGGATTTGTTCCCTGTACTGTGTACATCGGAATGCACGTGCTGCCACTTGAGCCGAGACAAAGTTTTATTGTAGAGTGCAACAATTGCTTGGAAGGATGTGCTTTTGCGCCTTCATCCCAAGTGAACACAAAAAGCCAAACAGCTATTCATGTCAAAATCTGGGCCAAACCTCATAACTTTCTGCGACAGAAACCAGAGCCCTAACGCCTGAGCATTGAAGTCTGTGTGCCGAAAGCGCACTGCCTTCATCGGGGTTTGTTCCCCACCGGCATGGGACGGAAAAGCAACAAACAGCAATGCTGCAGCAAGGGTGGATGACAAGTGGGCCTTATACCAGCTTATACCAGCTATATAATCCCAATACGCTAACGTGTCTAGATGATACTGATACTCCAATTAGTTCAAAGCCAGCCATTGGACCAACGGAATGGGCCTGAGCCAGCTCCTGCAATAAGGGCATGAGCACTTGATCCTGGAGCTGGCTAACCAGTAGAACAGAAACGGTGAAACAAACCACCAAAACATGGGGGAGAGGAAAAATTCACCAAAGCGTGAATCAAATTTGATGCCATCTACCCGTGCGATGTCATGGATCTGCGTATGGACAGTGACTGGTCTCCTGGCCAGTGACTGGCAGGCGAGACACTAGTGAGCTTGCCCTCATGATGAAGTACATGGCTACATAACATTACATAACATTACAGGATGTAAATAACATGTAAATAACATTACTACATGTTTCACATTGTTTCACGCTAAATTACCCTCGTTATTTACCCAGTATTTACCCCCGTTGGATGGTCCAAAGGTCATCCAAAGGTCATCCAAAGGTCACGCCTGCAGCTGTGAAAACAGCGTCCAGGCCATAGAGGCGGCTCCCGTGGTCTCGGTGCTGGAAATCACTGGAGATCCATGGAATCAGGGTGGAGGGATTTTCATTGGAAAAACATAGGAAAACTAATAGAAAAACTAGGATTATCCTGTACATTTTCACTTGTTTGATAGGAAATAGCTATGTTTTTGCCGTTTTCGTCAAGAAAAACAGGGGTAAACCCTAAAGAGTTTATCTTCATCCAAGTCTAGGACATCAGATTTCATGGGTGTTTTATAATGATACTCCATTCAAAGGAATTGTTGAAGTTGAATTGACAGGATTAGGGACTTTTCGGTGGAAATTTTGATATTTCGATGCTTAGTTCATAGGGATTTTCGATGGAAGGAGATGTTTAAAATTGGATGGATATTGTTGAAACATGTTGAAACCATCCCGGGCCTTCTCCATGCCCATCAGCCAAGGAAGTTTGAAGTTCAAATACGATGGTTCATAGTAAACGAACTGGGTATGAAATACCCAATGGTCAAGATCCCAAAATTGGAACGGGGCACCAATCTTCCATCATGAAACTTCAATGTTTGCACCTAAAAGCCTAAAACTGAGAATTTCATAAAAAATGATATGTGCATACCAAATTAAGTTAATTTGGTATATGTCTTTGATTTTTTGTGACTCGGGAACTTCCCTGTGCCACACCTGAGAAGGATGTAACGAAAGCCAGCATCTCCTTGATATTTACCAGGTCAGTAAAGCATATCTGAGAAAAACCAAGCCTAAGATTCCCAGGTATATCAATATACCTCCGACTCTCACAATCGCCTCTCGTCCGCATCTCCTCTAGGTCTCATCTCCTACAAGCCTTGTTTAGACTCCAAGAGCCAGACTCCGATCTCTATTCTTGTTTGTTTCTAAATGGCCTCTACGTTTCATCTCCACAAGTCTTGTTTACGACCTCCAAGAGTTTAGACTCCAAGAGCCAGACTCCTATCTCATTTTTTGTATCTGCCACAAGTCCTGTTTACGACCCCCAAGAGTTTAGACTCCAAGAGCCAGACTCCGATCTCTATTTTTTTTTGTTTCTAAATGGCCTCTACGTTTCATCTCCACAAGTCTTGTTTACGACCTCCAAGAGTTTAGACTCCAAGAGCCAGACTCCTATCTCTTTTTTTTGTATCTGCCACAAGTCCTGTTTACGACCCCCAAGAGTTTAGACTCCAAGAGCCAGACTTCGATCTCTATTTTTTTTTGTTTCTAAATGGCCTCTACGTTTCATCTCCATAAGTCTTGTTTACGACCTCCAAGAGTTTAGACTCCAAGAGCCAGACTCCTATCTCTTTTTTTTGTATCTGCCACAAGTCCTGTTTACGACCCCCAAGAGTTTAGACTCCAAGAGCCAGACTCCGATCTCTATTTTTTTTTGTTTCTAAATGGCCTCTACGTTTCATCTCCACAAGTCTTGTTTACGACCTCCAAGAGTTTAGACTCCAAGAGCCAGACTCCTATCTCTTTTTTTTGTATCTCCCACAAGTCCTGTTTACGACCCCCAAGAGTTTAGACTCCAAGAGCCAGACTCCGATCTCTATTTTTTTTTGTTTCTAAATGGCCTCTACGTTTCATCTCCACAAGTCTTGCTTACGACCTCCAAGAGTTTAGACTCCAAGAGCCAGACTCCTATCTCTTTTTTTTGTATCTACCACAAGTCCTGTTTACGACCCCCAAGAGTTTAGACTCCAAGAGCCAGACTCCGATCTCTATTTTTTTTTGTTTCTAAATGGCCTCGACGTTTCATCTCCACAAGTCTTGTTTACGACCTCCAAGAGTTTAGACTCCAAGAGCCAGACTCCTATCTCTTTTTTTTTTATCTGCCACAAGTCCTGTTTACGACCCCCAAGAGTTTAGACTCCAAGAGCCAGACTCCATCTCTATTTTGTTTTTGTTTCTAAATGCCGACGTTTCATCTCTCCACAAGTCTTGTTTACGACCTCCAAGAGTTTAGACTCCAAGAGCCAGACTCCTATCTCTTTTTTTTGTATCTGCCACAAGTCCTGTTTACGACCCCAAGAGTTTAACTCCAAGAGCCAGACTCCGATCTCTATTTTTTTTTGTTTCTAAATGGCCTCGACGTTTCATCTCCACAAGTCTTGTTTACGACCTCCAAGAGTTTAGACTCCAAGAGCCAGACTCCTATCTCTTTTTTTTGTATCTGCCACAAGTCCTGTTTACGACCCCCAAGAGTTTAGACTCCAAGAGCCAGACTCCAATCTCTATTTTTTTTTGTTTCTAAATGGCCTCTACGTTTCATCTCCACAAGTCTTGTTTACGACCTCCAAGAGTTTAGACTCCAAGAGCCAGACTCCTATCTCTTTTTTTGTATCTGCCACAAGTCCTGTTTACGACCCCCAAGAGTTTAGACTCCAAGAGCCAGACTCCGATCTCTATTTTTTTTTGTTCTAAATGGCCTCTACGTTTCATCTCCACAAGTCTTGTTTACGACCTCCAAGAGTTTAGACTCCAAGAGCCAGACTCCTATCTCTTTTTTTGTATCTGCCACAAGTCCTGTTTACGACCCCCAAGAGTTTAGACTCCAAGAGCCAGACTCCGATCTCTATTTTTTTTGTTTCTAAATGGCCTCTACGTTTCATCTCCACAAGTCTTGTTTACGACCTCCAAGAGTTTAGACTCCAAGAGCCAGACTCCTATCTCTTTTTTTGTATCTGCCACAAGTCCTGTTTACGACCCCCAAGAGTTTAGACTCCAAGAGCCAGACTCCGATCTCTATTTTTTTTTTGTTTCTAAATGGCCTCTACGTTTCATCTCCACAAGTCTTGTTTACGACCTCCAAGAGTTTAGACTCCAAGAGCCAGACTCCTATCTCTTTTTTTTGTATCTACCACAAGTCCTGTTTACGACCCCCAAGAGTTTAGACTCCAAGAGCCAGACTCCGATCTCTATTTTTTTTTGTTTCTAAATGGCCTCTACGTTTCATCTCCACAAGTCTTGCTTACGACCTCCAAGAGTTTAGACTCCAAGAGCCAGACTCCTATCTCTTTTTTTTGTATCTACCACAAGTCCTGTTTACGACCCCCAAGAGTTTAGACTCCAAGAGCCAGACTCCGATCTCTAGTTTTTTTTTCTGTTGCTACATAGCCTCTACGTTTCATCTCCACAAGTCTTGTTTACGACCTCCAAGAGTTTAGATTCCAAGAGCCAGACTCGACTCCTATCTCCTTTTTTTGTATCTACCACAAGTCCTGTTTACGACCCCCAAGAGTTTAGACTCCAAGAGCCAGACTCCGATCTCTATTTTTTTTTGTTTCTAAATGGCCTCTACGTTTCATCTCCACAAGTCTTGTTTACGACCTCCAAGAGTTTAGATTCCAAGAGCCAGACTCCTATCTCTTTTTTTTGTATCTACCACAAGTCCTGTTTACGACCCCCAAGAGTTTAGACTCCAAGAGCCAGACTCCGATCTCTATTTTTTTTTGTTTCTAAATGGCCTCTACGTTTCATCTCCACAAGTCTTGTTTACAACCTCCAAGAGTTTAGACTCCAAGAGCCAGACTCCTATCTCTTTTTTGTGTATCTACCACAAGTCCTGTTTACGACCCCCAAGAGTTTAGACTCCAAGAGCCTGACTCCGATCTCTATTTTTTTCTGTTGCTCAATGGCCTCTACGTTTCATCTCCACAAGTCTTGTTTACGACCTCCAAGAGTTTAGATTCCAAGAGCCAGACTCCTATCTCTTTTTTTGTATCTACCACAAGTCCTGTTTACGACCCCCAAGAGTTTAGACTCCAAGAGCCTGACTCCGATCTCTATTTTTTTTTCTGTTGCTCAATGGCCTCTAAGTTTCATCTCCACAAGTCGTGTTTACGACCTCCAAGAGTTTAGATGCCAAGAGCCAGACTCCTATCTCTTTTTTTTGTATCTACCACAAGTCCTGTTTACGACCCCCAAGAGTTTAGACTCAAGAGCCTGACTCCCATCTCTTTTTCTCTGTTTCTAAATGTCCTCTAGGTCTCATCGCCCACAAGTCTTGTTTACGACCCCCAAGAGTTTAGATTCCAAGAGCCAGACTCCTATCTCTTTTTTTTGTATCTACCACAAGTCCTGTTTACGACCCCCAAGAGTTTAGACTCAAGAGCCTAACTCCGATCTCCATTTTTTCCTGTTTCTAAATGTCCTCTACGTCTCATCGCCCACAAGTCTTGCTTACGACCCCCAAGAGTTTAGACTCAAGAGCCTGACTCCGATCTCTTTTTTTTGGTTTCTAAATGTCCTCTACGTCTCATCGCCCACAAGTCTTGTTTTCGACCCCCAAGAGTTTAGACTCAAGAGCCTGACTCCGATCTCTATTTTTTTTCTGTTTCTAAATGGCCTCTACGTCTCATCGGCCACAAGCCTTGTTTACGACTCCCAAGAGTTTAGACTCCAACAGCCAGACTCCGATCTCTATTTTTTTTCTGTTTCTAAATGGCCTCTACGTCTCATCTCCCACAAGTCTTGCTGCCTCCAAGGGCCAAACTCCGATCTCCATTTTTACATCTCTTGATGGCCTCTCGTTTTTCTGTTCCCAACTGGCCGCTACATCTCATCTCCGACAAGCCCTGTTTACGACCCCCAAGAGTTTAGACTCCAAGAGCCAGACGCCGATCTCTATTTTTTTTCTGTTTCTAAATGGCCTCTACGTCTCATCTCCCACAAGTCTTGTTTACGACTCCAAGGGCTTAACTCCGATCTCCATTCTTATATTTTTTGATGGCCTCTCGTTTTCTGTTTCTAACTGACCTTTACATCTCATCTCCGACAAGCCTTGTTTACGACCCCCAAGAGCCGGACCAGGGGGGAATCGATACCCCACCGTCACTGAATTGCGACGCAGTACCCTCAAAACGCACCCATTTGCCCACCTGAAACACCACCTAATTTCGGGTTTTCTGAGACCTGCCCCCAGACCCCTTAGACTCACTTCGTTCGCAGTAATAACTTCAGCCTAGCCTGCCGGCTGGCTTTCGTAAAAATGGTGATGTTTCCTTGACAACAATCTGGAAGGTGGCTGTCCACCTTTCCTCTGGCCATTATTGTCAGAACAATGGCCAGCTTCACATATAAGAAACTGTATATCACAATTATGTGCAATATATGTGATATATGTTATATTGCAATATGTCTTACGTATGTATGTGTGTATATATATATATACATACATACATACCTACATACATACATACATGTACATTTCATATGTATACCTGAACAAATTCTCAGAACTCCAAACGCTCCCGGCATCGAATGTCAACCCCGGCACCTTGGCAATGTCTTGTGCGCTCGCCTTATGAAGCTGTGGCCGAACCTTGAACGTTGCGAGTTGGCGCACCGTCATGGACTGGCGAATTTGTGTTCTGTTAGGGGTTTTTAGTCGGTTTCTTCATCAGTCACAGATTTTGTGTTTCACTGGACATCTTGGGCCCCGATGGCTGCAGATCTCAGGTTTGCACAGAAGTTGCCATCGCAACAATGACATCTCGAGCAACGTCCGAGGCCTCGAAACGGTCGCCCCATGGCACTTGGGTTGAACGCTCCAAGGTCGATTTTTCATGTAGCCTTCATGGGTGGGTTCAACCACCTCTCCCTATGTTGGTGACACCCCCAAAAGAATAGACTGTTTAGACTGTTAAGGTTTTCCCCCAAAGACATTAGCATTAATATGATGTCTATTGATGTTTTGGGTGCATAATTATGGTTGACCCGTTTGGCGCTAAACCGGCGCCAGCTAAATGATAGGTACTGTGTCTCACCCACTTGGGAGACCTGCCCCAATTGTCGCTTGACTGACGGCAGGTCTCCGCTAGTTATTAATTGTAGTAGTTGCTAAAACTGTTGGTGTTCTTAATCTATCGGTATGTTTTCTTAGTAGCTTTACTAACATCACATGAATGTCATGATCATTTTTTTCATGAATAGTTATTAATATCTACATTCATATGAAAATTAACCGCAAACTTGCGGGACAATTATTGCATAATATGTTAATTATGTATCATATCATTATTCTCGTTATATCAAAGGCACTGGGTGGTTAATTGGATTTTGTTACACCCCTCTTATTCGGGGTCACACAGGTCACCTTTGGGGGGTTCCTTCGGCGGAGCAGAACCTTCTGGGCACCAAACACAAAGTGCCGTGCCGCTGGAAGTACCAAGCCTTGGGGATGTAAGAAATTAAAAGGAGACAACGGAGACAACAGCCTCCTCGTCCAAGTATAGAAAACCAAGTGCCAACTTCCACAGCCAAGTGGCAAATTCACCAGAGAGTAGAAGAACTCTGCGATGTCACGAATTGGGCATTGGGTGTGGGAGGCGCGACTGTTATTCAAGTGCTTCAACCTCAGAAACTGAAGCCAACAGAGGGTCCATTGGCCGCATGGCAAGGATTCAAGTCATTGGGGTACCAATTGATCCACAAGACATTGATTTTATTTGATTTTTGTTTACATATATACATCCATTTGAGCCATGCTTGCATGATTCCTTGGCACAAAAAGCATTTGCACTGGCTCATTTGGAGGTGATCATGGAGGAAATCATTGCATTTAATTACGACATATTACGACCTCAGATCGGTCTCCAACCTGCAAATCTTCCATTCAACCGATTCTGGGACATGCTGCCAGTTCATTTTGCTTCAAACACCTCCCATGCGCAAGATCTGCATCTGCAATTGTTTGAAAGCAGGGTACAGCGTACCCCACCCCAATTTTCTCATATTTCCTTGCCATGAATTCATTACCATGGCCATAAATTACCGCATTTCTCGGATGGGGTCCCTGGTCTTCCATCTATTGGGAATCCACATGGCCCCAACGCCACCATGGTGAGGCCGTGGAAGGCAGATGCCACGTCCACCTGTCGTGAATAATTTAGGGTTTGACAATGGTTTTATGTGGTGTTGAACATTTGGTCTAAAATGGTTCAGAATGGTTCAAAATTGTTCAAAATGGTTCAAAATGGTCTAACATCAGCGATATATTCATGATTATAGTAATAGTACTGGTAGTATGAATAGTTGGAAAAATGAGGGTCGATATCAGCTGTCACAATGTGATTATGCCATCAATAGTAATGGCCAGTCATATGTCCCTTTTTATGTCAGCCAGAATTGAGAATACTACAAAACTCATGGGAGAGGGTTTAGTAGCAACTTCAAATTACGGGCAGTAATCCCCGAACTGGCTACTTCAAATTACGAAGCCCGGGAAACCTGTATTTGATGGGCAAGCCGGCAAGCCCATGGTTTCCTTTAAACCAAGCCACTGATGGAAGGAGATGAAAGGAAAGGCGCACCCACTAAAAGATCTTACCCAAATGACCTCTTACCCAAATGACCTCTTACCCAAAGGACCTTGATTTTCCCACGATCTTGAAAGACAAATACCTGCGAGATACCAATTTTTATGTTAACTCGTATGTGTAACGGTGACCAACGACATACAACTACTGGTATTGCCAGTTGCTGCTACCCTGCCTCGATCTTTGGCATCATTTGTTACACAAGCTCCATGGCCAAACCAATGTCTTTTCATGCCTCTTTCATACGAAGTCTTTCGATAAAAACAAGCAAGAGCCCCAACAAGCGGGAAGAGAGAACACATTTGCAAAAACATGTGTGGAGAGTGCTACTCATGCAGCCTTCGAGTCTAACTTTCGTGTGAGTGCAGTTGCCACCAATGCCACATCCTGCGCTGGCGACAGCTGAAAATGATGTTAAAAATAGTCAATAGACCCAGCAAAAACGGTGAGTTCATCAGCAAAAAATGCGAATCACTCATACAGTACTAAAAATTGGATTTTGCCACTACAAATGTGGATTCAATCATCCAAAAATGGGGGTGGTGAATCAACAGAAATAAAAAGGGCCGCAACAAAGCTAGCTTGAAGATCGACATCGAAAAAGAAATGCCGATCACCACAAGCATGAAATGTTGAATCGAAATTAGAAGAATGAAACCTTGTTGAACATTCTCAATCAAGAAGCTGACTAGAACCGCAAGAACAGCCTACTCTGTTTCCTTGTGCTATTCAGTTTCCCGAAGGAAAAAGGTGTCTTCATCTTTATTGCACCCAGGCCACCGCAGGGAAACCAGTCCCGCAAACATCCAAAGGCATCTGCATACTGGCAGCAATACACAGCAACAAAGCCAAAGAACCTGTCACCATGCAGAGGTTGGGCTGCTGTTTCTCCGTCTCACTTGGGCTCTTCAGTCTCGTTGAGTGCCATGGTGCAGAAATTAAATGAGGATCGGGTAGGTTATCATCCCGACAACAACTGATACAATGTATGAGCAGCTGTCAGGAAACTGTTTTTTTTGTGCGAATATTTCAACCTTTATCAGGTCAACAGTTTCACTGTGGGGATGTAACCTGACCCCAAAAATTAGGATCCGCAGTTGCAGTCCGGATTGCCACAGTGACCCAAGATGTCCTTCATGGATCAAATTTGCCATGCCCAGCAGCCCCTGTTACCCTCCGCCTGTCGTCATCGCAGCCGCACTTGCTTGCGGCTGCAGCTAACTCTGCCACCTGGCCATGGGATGACCATCCCATGTTTTGATCGCACAGGCCATTGCGAAGAATTCTGGCCCCCTTGGGCCATTAGGAATTCCAAAAAGAATGGCTATAGCAATATCGGCAATATCTACCGAGATGTGAGCATCCCCCTTTTGTCTACCGACTTTTGACCATGGCCGGAGGCTTCCCCAAGTCTCAGTGTCACAGAAACCATACTGCGGGAGCTTAGAACAGACCTCTCGGCCACCGCAGCAGGAGAGCCGAGGCCAGGAGTAGGCCTCAATCCATCTCTCTGCATTTGTCACTGGCAAAGGCCAGCTGGGAAATTCTCAGACTGATCATCTCAATCCCTGTCCCTACCTAATTGCAACCGATTGCAATGTTCAAGGCCCACGCGCAAAGTGTGTTGAGAAGATCCTTGAGACCCAGCCTGCCAGCCTGTCAATTTAAAAGCACCAAGGTCATGCATCTAGACATCCACACTGCATTTGGATGCATTTGTTGTAACCCGAGTCAGTTTAGCAAAACAATGGGAAATCACACGTCCAATGGAGAGAGTCTATCCACAAAGCCTGGATTTTCCGCATCTTAGATAAGAAAAGGTAGGTCATGACTCCTTCACTTCGGCATCACTTTGATTAACATGTCTGTCGCCCGCATGCTAGCTGCAACATGAGTTGACAGGTGATGTATGTGGTGATGTATGTCATGATGTTTGTTTTTGTGCGAGTTTCTCCAAAGATGGGCTAACCCCAGCAGGGCCATAAATTCTGTATTATAATATATGTCACATTTATATGTATTATTATATTATATGATTAATATATTAATGTATACATACATATATCTCTACATATACAGTATACATAGATTATCTTATATTATATTACATTACATTACATTACATTATATTATATTATATTATATTATATCATTTATGTGTATATATATATAATTATATATATATACATATATATATATATTATGTCTGTAGGGAGAATTATAATGGGGAAAGCCGCATTTTCAGACAACCCAAATGCTGATACCGCTTGATCTGACCATCGACTCATTCAGGTGGCCGGGCCCTGCATCAGGTCCCAGGGTACCTGCGCAGCAGCCATACCCAACAACCCGCCATCCACAGGCTCGTTGCCCTGTTCAGCCTCTAGTAGTGCTGCCTGGCATGCAAACAATCAGGGGAGCAATTTCTGGCCATATACATTGGTCAGCCTGAGGAAAACGCTGCTGAGAAAATTCTGAAATTGACTTACATTATAGGACTTCACCACCACCACCACCACCATCACCACAACAACAACAACAACATCATCTGGGGCAAGGCCAATGGGGCCACCCCCATTGGAAGCTTTATCTTGCCAGGTGCACTCCCCAGACCGATCCCCACCTTGAGGTTCTTAGCAGGCTGTGCAGCGGCCGCAGCATTGGTCACCTGACACGTCGAAGTCTGAAGGTATCTCTCTACCCAGGACCCCAGGACCCCAGGACCCCAGGACCCCAGGACCTGGACATATGATGACATCATTGGGATCAGCAAGAGTAATTGATGATCCATCCTGGATGAGATCCAACCCTTCATCAATAAGGACTTCCCAAACAAGCTTGAGCACAATCCCATGGATCGAAGAGCTCATGTTTCTGGTCCGGGTATGTCCCGAAATCGAAGCAACACAGCCTTGCAGAGTGCCAGCACGGGTTTGCGGATCCTGCTATGACATCCACCTTCAAGGCAAGACTGCCGAACTCATCCAGCCAATGGTATAGTAATTTGGTATGAATCAAAATTTAAGGCCCGGAGGAAACCAGTCTTTGGTCATTTTAAGTCCACCCAAATTCAATGATGGATTTGGCTCTGCATGCAAAAATGCAGCGGGGTTTTGCTGTCTGACACGCCCTGCATGCTTACTGACACTGTTTATCTGAATGCGCAACAGGCCAACCTGAGCCTGACTTTTGGTGATTATATTGCTTTGGCTGACCTTGGTCTGTGTGGAAGCGGCTGAGCTCCAAGGGCTTGCGCCATATTTCCAGTTTCAAAACATGTGCCCAGCCCCCCAGCACCATGTGGAAGCGAGTCAAACAGTTTTCGTTTTCGCCCAGCGGCTTTGCTTTCTTTCTTTTGGTGGCCTCTTGGGACCGGATGGAACTTCCACGTCGACAGGATCGATGGCCATGCTTCCACTTTTCTACGCATAAGCTTCGGCTGAGGTTCATCATGTTACAATTACAATATTTGCAAGTACAGGTTGGAGTGTTGCGCTTCTTCTGTGTGCGTGTGATGCTGAGCCGTATGAAAATCGAAGATAACTTTGATACTGATATGTAGCGTTGCCTGTTGATTTCGTAGAGAGATGCTTTGTCGTGTTTCGCCTATGCTTGACAACGGGCCACATTTCCAGAAGTTGACCCTGAAAGCACTTACGCTGCAGTGCACTCAAACAATCTGGCCAAATCCCTCCAGATCAGGTCACACCAGAGGTCACACCAGAGACATCCAAAGTTGATGCGTTGATGCATTCCATAGCCAGAAATTGCTTCGACCCATCCCAAAGCACGTACTTTTCCACCAATTGCCGCTCCATCTAAAGGCATGGTCAGCTGCTCAGGATGGGACCTGCACCATGAAGAAAAAGCTCAGCCAATGCCAGTGGCTCAGTCGGAAAAGTGCAGGCGAGTGGCTACATGTTTTAACGATTTTAACGCAGTGTTCATTTCATTGTCGCATTGTGTCTATTGTATTCTCGTGTGCTCTGTCATCACCTGAGGTGAGAGGAAGAGCTGCCCCACTTTCATGAGGACAAAAGGCTGCCACTGTAAGGTCCGTTATTGGACATTTGACGACGCCAGACTCAAAAGCTTGGTATTTTGGGTCAAGTTCAAAAAGCTTCAAGCTCATGAACTGAGGCGTCCTTTGCAAGTTCAAGCAAACAAAAGCTTCAGTCCAGGAAAACTTTGCTGAACAAATGGCGCCAGGAGAAAGCTACAAACCGATCTCTGGACCCTTGCCTCAAGCACTCAGAAGAGCAACGGGAGAATCATCCCAAGGACCACTGATGTCAACATCCCAAGCCTAAGAGCTCGGTCGACTGCAGTGGTTTGGTCATCATCAACTCTTTGAACCTCTTGGCTAAAGTCGGTGACGCCAGCCGCGTCCATCTTCTGATCCAACATCTCATTGAGACCAGCCATGTTGAGTTGATGCAGCTTGCTCTGGAGGGAGTCGATGGAAACAACTGGTTCCAGGCCATTTCCGTTGTCCTCATAAGGAATGGTCAAGAGGTAGGTGACCGTAATCTCACCTTCCTGGGCGGTGGGAGCCATCTCCACATCTATCATCTCAGCATCCAGGCCTGTTACCTCGGTCATCAAATCTAGGTAGGCCTGCTTTACTCTCGGGTCTTCCATGTAGCCCTCGTAGCCCTTAGCATTCTCCTCCACTTTCTCTACTTTCACAGCCATCCTAACTGTGACTTTGGCTGCTGCACCTTGAGCAGAGGTGGTGGCAACGGGCTCTGTCTCAGTTATTGTAGTCATGCTGGTAGTAAGTGTAGTCTGGGTGTGTGTAACTGTGCTTCCCGTGACAGTCTCAGTCACCGTAGTGGCAGTGGTGGTTATGCTTGTATATGTTTGGGTTGAAGTTCCACTTGTTGTGGTATGTGTTTCTGTCTCGGTGCTGGTGTAGGTGGTTTCTGTGTGCGTCGCACTGGTCATCGTCGAGGTTTTGGTGGTGCTGGTTGTTGTGATACAACAAGGTTCAGCACACTGGTCCTTGCAACTTTCAATCACTGCCACAGATGAGCAGGTCAAGCCAGCTACGGCCAAGCTCTCACAAGTGGCCTGGTTGCTGCATGGAGAGCTCCACAAGTTGCTGGGACATCCGTCCGGAGGCTCCACTGCTACCACCAGGCCTATTAGTAGCCACACTAGCCACACAGCTCGCGGCACCATCAAGCGACCCACGGCTCCACGGCTCGATGGCATGGCTCGATCGTGCAAAAACTGAGCTACAGCTGCGGAAAGTGTGGCAGCTCCAAGATGTTCCAATTGCCATGTCACATCATGTCACCATGTTTTCTGTTGCCGCCAACGGAAAGTTTCTGAAACAGCTGTGACATCTGGCATCTTTCCCACCTCAGGCACAGTCGCTCGAGCATCATCGATAGTGCTCTGGAGTTTGCTTGTGATCCATGCCTTCAAAGTCTCGAGAAACTTGATCCTTGTTCAAAGAATCCTGATATAATCCATCTGCACAAATCTGACTTTCAATTTGACTTTCGAAATACGGCAATTCTCTATCGCCCGTATGTTTTGCTCTTTTCTGTTTCCTAGCCTGCTACAGTTTGATAATCTGGCATAAGTCGAAGGAGAGTGGAGAATCAAAACTGTTGCGTTCAAAACAAAAACTTCCAGACAAACCAACACAGCATCACTATCCAGCCAGCTGTGACCCAACAAAGCATCCGGCAAGCCAGGTGAATTGCTGGACAGCACCCTGCTCACCATATGTGCCGTTCACCACTTGTTATGTCAATGAAATCCAACGCGGCCCATGACCATATCAGCAGCGGTCTTTGCTTCTGCATTCGGACAATCTAGGCTTCCCTTCGCCACATCTACAACAAAAAAACAAGAAAGATCTTGATATATTTTGATGATCAATCAATGAATGACTCTTGTGGCGAAGGTCGCAATTGTTTTTCTTTGTACACCGCCAGGTCGCCAGGTGATACAGAGTTCGAGACACCAGGCGAGACTCGTTCCACACTGTTTTCAGTGTGAGAGGGTGAAACATCCACCTTTCCACCATCTGCAGCAATCCCGCGATTGCAGGGGCTCGGTGCATTTGCATTCAGTGAAACAAACTCGGGGTTTATTCCGCAACCTGTCAACCAACAGGGAGCACATCCAGGGAACTTGGGCTAGGAACCTAGCAAAATACTGCAGACAGCCCACGTCGCCTGCGAAGTCGATTGGCTCTTGAGCTGGGTTCGCAGCATCTGGAAATAGGCCTTCCGCTGAGATACCCATGCTCATTGATATGGCTGTGGCTCCAGATTGTTTTTTCCAGAATTGGGTGGTTTCAGACCAAAAATGATCCGCCTATATCCCGAGACATTTAAATCGCAGTTAGCCAGGAAATCCAGCGCCTGCTTGGTGCTTTGAAAGTCCTGCCCATGTCATTTTGTCATTTTGCCGATTTTCACAAACCTTTCATTCTGACTTTTCAGAGGGGGTGCTCTTGCAAAACCTGCAACCCATATTCAGACTCATAGACTCAAACCCAAAACACGCGCACACACACACAAACACACGTGTTCAGAACAATCATTGCGAATTCTGTTGTGGAATGCATCTTACGTGCAAAAACACTCCAATTACACCTGACAGGAATGGCTCGGTGAAAAGACCCGAGAGAGAATCAAGAAGCTACCATCGCCATAGCCAGTACTAGATGAAAAGAGTTGGAAGCTGACCCTTCCCTGTCAATAAAGCCAAATCGTTCCCACATTGACAGATTGCGAAAACAGTACAGAAACTGAAATGGACATTGCAAATTGCAGAAGTTCAAAACTGACGTCATGCCGGTTCTAGGCTTAGCCGGTTGCCATTCAGAGAAATGCTAAAAAACGATGCAGGTACGTGCAGTTGATCAAACTGCATATCCTCTCCAAACATCAGTAGCTTCGTTGGCCACGGACTGATGAATGGAGCCGTGGCCCCCTGCTGTATGACAAAAATGAAATGAAATGAAATGAAAATGAAAATGAAATGAGATGAAATGAAAATGAAATGAAGTGAAATGAAGTGAAATGAAATGAAAGAACATCCACGAAAACCTGATCGTCGGCAGATTCCGATTTCCTAGGGGAAGAAAAGAAATCAGTAAAAAAGTGACGTCGGCAGTTAGAAGTTTACATCTATTCAGATGTTCCACACACACGCCCCGCTGCCGCGGGGCTTTTTTGGAAGATGCACCGCGAAAGTCGAGTGCAAGCTCTGATTTGGTCATCTGGGTTCGGACAAAGAAATGAATTGAAGTTAGTTACAAAGAATCGCGCCTAGTCGCGGAATGGTTTGGTCGTCATCATCCGAGTAATCCGCAGGGCAATCCTCTGGGTTGGCTCGTCTGGCCAGGGTATTGGCCGTGACGGCCAGATGGCTACCAAGCTGAGCCAATTCCGCTGATGTGAAAAGGCGAATGTTGCTCTCTGACGGATCAGCAGGCGGAATCTGTAGCATTTCAAGGATCGGGGCATTGAACTCAGGATCCGCCAACAATATGTTGTACATGATGTGGGCAAGTTGGCTAATTTGCATGGGCACCGACAGGTGAGGATTTGGAACTTCAGCTGGAAATTCAATTTGGGAGGTATCATCCCCATCGTCATGGATATCTTCTGCAGGAGTTTCAACATTGTCCTGAGAATGCTCATGCGGCTCTGTCCGATGAGGATGGCATAGGGGACTTCAGCAATGTCGAAGTCTCTGCGCCAATAGTTGGCAATGCGTGAAGCTTCACGCCATCCATTGATGTGATATCCCCACTTCTCCTTCACATGACCCACAATTCCATGGAAGAAAAATTCCGGTCGGCGGAGTCTTTCGATGCCGTCTGCGTCAATTTCTGTGACCCAGAGCTGTTTTTGTTTGTTGGGTCCTTCCCCAACTTCAATCTCTTTGAAGACCTGGGTGTGCACCACCCGTTGGTTCTGTTTGAAATCAGGAGTAAATGGATGACGAGGAAATGGATTCCACGAGTCATCACCTCGTGGCATAGGACCGGTGTCAAATTCGGTCGTGTAGCCGTATCCGAGTTGGCAACAGCGTCGGGTGTTGTATATGATTCAGGTGACGGCCAGCCAGGTCCCGAAGAGGGGAACGCAAAAGAAGAGGGAAAGAGCAAACACCAACACGACACACCTGGCCCAGAGCGGGCAAACCCTGAAAGGGCAAGGGAAGAAAAAACGAAGGCCGACGGAAACGGAACCAGACCAGCGGAGGAGGGGGAAGACGGAAGCGTCTGAACCAACCTACCACGGCGAAACCTAAGCCTACCTCAGCACGCGCAGGACCCAACCTACCTGAAGAGGGAACGAACACATGAGATAAGGGACCCATCGGGGACTAGTTAAAAACATGATGCATCCAAATGGTCATGCAGGTTCCCCTATTCGGGCTCAATGGCCACAAAGTCAAGTCAACCCCATGGACGGCTTACGTTGTCAACCCTCGAATTACGTGCACATTTGAACCTCACCAGAGTAACCAAAAAGAAAGAGACCACACCTGAAAGACATGTCCTGATACCTGAAGGAAAAAACAAAAAAAAACACAAAAAAGGTGAAGCCCAGAACAGCGGCACGTTGTTTCAACACAGGACCGACAGGTGAAAAGCTGAAAAAAGGCCAGCTGTTTCACATTACTTAAACGAATTACTAGGCTGAAAAAGGTGAAGCCAAGAACTGCGGCACGCTGTTCAACACATCGACCGACAAGGTGAAACCGAAAAAAGGCCAACTGCTTCACTTTACTTAGACGAATTACTAAGTTGAAAACTGTAAATTCAGAGATCAGGTCGACGGTTCACTCTCCTACCTAGAAAGGTATTCCCCGAAGGGTTCATGCCACCGTGACAAATCCAGCATGAATCACACACTTGCTCAGAACAGTCGTTGCGAATTCTGATGTGGAATGCAACTGACGTGCAAAAACACCAACGATAAGTTGACGCGAAGAATGGATATTTGTAAAAATATATAGACGTATAATCGCCGAAGACATTGACCGTAAAAAACAACAGCGATAAAATATAGGTCCCCCCAGCTGCGACTTATATGCGCCCAGGGGCGGGACTATCTATCTATCTATCTATCTATCTATATATATATAGTTGCAGGTACAGGAAACCGGCCACGTTTCCCATCCCACTCATGTCCACAGCTTCATTGCGTGTGGCAGGACATGAGTGCCACACGCCCCTGCAGCATAATGAAGTTTTACATCTATACAGGTGGTACACACACACTAGACAAGAATGGATCATTATATGATCCGGCAGGAACTGAATCCTGAAACATGCAGATTAGATACGAAACAACGAAATTAACGATGCATCCTACGAATAATAGAAGTTCTCCTGAATGGTTTCCATGGCCAAGATCGTCATCAAAAATTATATATCGGCGACGTGGTTTTGACAAAATAATCCAAATACATCGGCGACATGGTTTCGGCGAAATAATCCAGAAAATCAAAAATAGTGTCGGCGACATGGTTTCGGCGAAAATACTGAGGAAGGTTCTGATGCAATTGAACCAAGCATAAATGATCAAACGTAATTCCAGATTGCGACAACAGTGCAGCAAATTGTGTAATATTGTGGTTGGGGTTCTAAGCTTGGCCCCTTGCTATTCCGGAAAATTCGAGCTGCAGGTACGCAGAGCTGATCAGGCTCTGTATCCCATACAATCAGGTAGCTTCGTTGGACGTGGTCCCTGATTGTATGCCACGTCCCCCTGCAAACGTATAATCATTCAAAATTAAGAAGTTTTACATCTGTTCAGATGTCACACACACACCCCGCATATAGCGAGGTTTGATTTTGGAAGATCGTCGCGGTCGAGGTCGGCAAGAACCAATCAAAGTGAACCTACAGGATGCTAGTATACAAGGTTGCGGTCATTTCACTCAGAAGGGAAATTCGCTTCGAGTTGAAGTATCTGGATCGCTTCGCGGAAGCTCATGCCTTCAACAATCCTCCACGTTTCATTGACTTCCCCCGATGCCATAGCTGCCGTCAAAGTGTCTGATAGTTGTTTGGCTAAGTCCCGGATCTTGGTGGTTAGGCTAGGTGCCTCAGAAGGAGAAATCGGTGCGATGGAAAGGTCGTGGAAGGGACTTTGTCCATGTTGTAGAGGAAGCTCAAAATGATAGCGCCAATAGTCCGCCATCCGTAAAGACCATTCCCAGTTGCCAGAGAGAGCGTAGAAATAATGTTCAGGATCACGACATTTGGAAACTCCCGATGATGGAATCTCTTCAATGAATAGCTCCCTGGTATTGTTGGAGTGTGTAAAGATCTTGAATTGGATCTGATGGACCACTCGTGATGAGAAGCGAGAGCGATGGAAGATATTGTAGGTAGAACTTTGCTCAGTCGGGAAAGGTACATCAGGTTGTGTTGGAGCTGAGTATGTATCGGTTTGTGACATAGTACCCAGGTCGTTGGGTGTAGTATTTGCTTCCGGAGGTGCCGAAGTGGTCGAGGTCGAACGAGCGGGAGCAGCAGGATGACTCAGCTCAAAAGCCTGGTAGCCTGGCTCTGGGGCATACTCGGTGGAAGAGGTCCCACGGTTCGAATTCGAAGGCCAACCCAAGCCCGCCACAGTTGCGTCACGTTTGTGCTCCATGGGTGAAACGGTCACAAGAATAAGCTCGGTGCAAACCCAGAAGCTGAGGAAACACATCAATGCCAAGCAAAATACAGAATAAGAGAATGACAAACGGGTTGCGAAGTTCACGAAGAATAAATTGGCGAACCATGAACCGAATGATGAAACCCCGGAAAAACCAGCCGTGTTGATAATACCTCGTAAATCAAAAAGAAGAGAGAATCGAACGTTCTTTTTCCCTTTTTTGGCGTCGCCGAAGATCATGGTAGGATGACACCTGGACTAACCTTGTGGCACCTAAGACGTAGTACGAAAGGCTGTGAGGTACCGGGTACTAGCAAGGTGGATTCGATGTAGTTGTACTGCCTGATACGCCACTCAGGTCGGTATTCTTCCAAAAGCTGCATGATGGTCCAATCGTTTGGAACTTGGAAAGCATCACCTTCAAGATCGCAGTAGCGAAATTCCAAATTCGAAGGTTCCATATGGATGTCCCATTGGGTACGTAATCTTGTTGTTATGGCAGTACGTAGATCACGAATGGGGAGAATGCCTGCTTCGACCGGTTCCAGCTGACGTGCCCAGGTGAAAAGAGCTTCAAGTTCTCCCGCACTAACGTTCTTGAAATTTGAATTGGCAAGAGCACTGTAAAGATCACGGTCAGGTTCACTGCGGTGCGTCAATCCCTGCAAAGGGGAGTAATCCACTAAAATCAGGACGGGTCTGAATGGAGGAGGTTCAACATCACCAGGAAGGCCTCGATGTCCAGCAAGCCATGCGGCAGTTCTAGGACCTTTTGGTGTATCAACCGTGGATGTAGCGCGATATGGGTGAGGACGAGAAGAATGAGCCATGGCGTCGAGTTACAAGCGTTAAGCCCAGGCTGCAAAATAAGAATATGATCAATAGCGGTGAAGTGAAACACGAAAGTCATGAAAAGGAAGATGTACGAAATGAGGTGCCCAATAAATTGCCACAAAGTCGGTGTTCTTTCTTTTCTTTTTGCAAAGCGAAGTGGTGCGTTACACGCTGGAGTCAGACATATCCATAGGGCCTGGTTCATTCGCTGGTAATGGACGATGTGTATGATGAACAGGTGTGGTAGGGTTATTCGAGTGTAGGGTCCGGTGAAGTGTTGTCGATGGTGAGGACGGTGGTGTAGATCTCCATGGTGGCCAGGACAAAGAAATAGTGGTACCTTGTGAATGATGTTGAGCCGAGCGTCCCCAGCACGATTGAAGAATGTGAAGTTGGTCAGGTATGGCTTCGTACGGCTGTGAAACGTGGACGTTGGTATGTTCGGGATGTGGGAGAACCGGAAAGGATGTTGTCGTAGAGGAGGAGGATGATTGGATGGGTATCTTGTAGTACTGGCACCAATGGTTGGCAGTGGTGCGCAATGTAGCACGGTCCCTCGTGAGGTGCATGTTTTCCAGAAATGTTTCGACTGGTTTCCAAGTTTCTCTACCATCTGCTGTCCGTTCCAAGATCCAAAGTTCATCAGGTCGAGAAGTAAAGGGGTAGCTGAGCTTCTTGATGAATATAGTGTCAACGGTTGTAGAAGTTGGAGTCATTCTGGCCGCCCGGGGAATGTACGATGCCGAGGTTGGATCATCAGGTGGGAAATGTGGATTAGGGCCATGGATTGAGGTCATCGAAGAAAGTGCTGGGATCATCCGAGGAGCGCCATCAGTCGCGTGGTTCGCCATGTATAGAAGCAATAAATATAAGGTCGAAACAAACTGAAGCCGAAATTTGTCAAAGGAGGTCCAAATTGAGGTGAACAACAACAGAAGGAAGAAGTAGTTTCGTGAACCCTCGAGAAAACAGGGAATCAACGAGAAGCAATTGGTAATAAAGATGAACAGCAGAATGGCTCAATATTGCCACGAGCGGTCCTTTTTCCCTTTTTATAGATATGTGCATGTCAAGGTTGTCAAGCGGCAGTCTTGGTATATCGTGTTGCTGTAACGAATGGATGCCCTCGAGGAATCACTTGAATATGGACCGCAAAGCCCGTATCTTGTGGATCTGGATGGGGTGTCAGCAACAAAGGTGAACATTCGCGTGACGTGAAGGCATCGAGGTGTTGGTGAGTCTTCCACGACGGATAGAACCAGTTCAAGATGTCCAGGAGAGAATGAGGAAGGTCATCGAGCATCTGAGCTCCTTGATCCGTATCGATCATCATGTAGAAGTCGGTCGCTTGTAGGTGTATCGACCATCTCTGCAAGAGTGTATCCGTCACCACCGTTTTCAGGTCTGAGACAAAATGACTGCGGGCGTAGTCAGGGTAGATCACCTTGAAGGTCTGGAAAGGGCTGTCATATGTTTCCGTGGAGAGGTTGCCTGCGACCTTGGGGGCCAGGATGTTGTAATATGGG